AAATTGAATTTGTTTTCTATCTTAAAAACCAACAGTTTCTAATCTTACAAAAAGAATGATCATACATAGGAAAAGAAGGAACCCACAATTCAAGAATGATAATGTATGTACCGATGTTCAATTATCGGCGTTGTTCGAGTTGCAGATGCAGTAGGAGCCCTGATGTGCCCTACCATCGAAACTTGCAAAGCTTCCTCCTCATATGCTCTCCTCTCTAATTCTTCCATCATGGCTTTCTTCTTCACCTTAACTAACATCGCCACCAGAAGCAACCCTAACAGAAAAGCACCCAATGCAGCTCCGATCGAGCTCCCCACCACCACCTTCCACCGGCTGATCTTCTTCCTCTCCGGCGTAGATGGTGGCATCTCGATAACCAAACCGAAATGCCCATGTCTTGTTGCAACGCAAACTCCTGCGGACTTCGGGGTTTTCAGTGTCACTTTCCCATCCCCTTCAAAACTAGCGCACAACGGCCTAATTCCAGGGACGCTGGAAACCCTTGTAATGTTGCTGAAGTTTATTGTGATCGGTTTATCTCTGGCTACAATTACGACCTCGTAAGGATTGCTAATGTTAATATCGGTTCCGGCGTTATACGCCAAAAGGCCTACAACAGGGGAGATAAGCTGGTACCCTGAGAGATCATAGTTAGCATAGTAGATAGAAGACCAATTATACCCCAAGTTCTGCCTAACCAACATCACCCTCTCTGCACAAGGCTGTACTGTTACGCCAATGTTCAGATGGAATTCCTTCACCTGAGCGCCGTATCGCCGGAGACTGCCGCATCTAAACCTCGCAGTATCGACCTTGATCCCGGAGAAGTTCGCAGGTAAATGTACAGTGTGGACAGTGCCAGTCCTCAGATGCTTGTTGAAGGACTTGACGGTGTAGTCCCTGATGAGAAGATCAAGAAGGCGAGAAGATTTGATCCCCTGAATTTCTGCTTGAAGTGATGGTAGCAATGCCAATGAAACTAATATGAATTTGAGAAAGAAGAGAGTGCCCATGTGAAGAACTCAGTTTCCTCGGTTAAATCTAGATCAAGTTGTTTCTTTTCTTTGTGAATGTGACAGTATTGAGGTTGCAAAGAGGAAAGGGGATACTGTTTGAGGAAATTTGAAGATGGGAGAAGCTTTAGATTGAAGATGAAGAAAAGGAAATGAAAAGGGATGAAAAAGAAAGTTCTAAACCAAGCTTTAGATGGGTAATTTTAATCACCTAAAGTTGAGACTGGTACTTTTTGGTCATATGGAGAAGGTTGGGGGAAATGATTTGGGGAGTGGGGAGATGATGATGATTCCCTCATACAAAAGGAAATAATAAAGGGAGGGTGGCGTGCTTAGGGATTGAAATGAAGGCACAGTCCCTCTTTTGGGCTCATTATGCTGTTCATTTTGATTACATGTCCCCCATTTCAACAACTTTGTGGGTCTCATCTCATGTTTTCCACAAGCCAAGTTGGCTTACCTTTGCCATGTCATTTGTGTTCTAAGTAACTTTGTGATGGAGCCAAATTACAAAATGGTAACTTTGTATCATAAAAATTAAAAACTATGATATGAGTTAGGGGTTAATATATACATGGGTACCAATTACTTCTTTTTTTCCTTCTCTCCTTTTTTTACTATACAATGGTATTATTTTGTTAAGAAGTGTTTTCAGTAGTTAAAATTTTAAATTTTCAAGTTAAAATTTTCAATTTTAAATATTAAGATAAATAAAAAAATTATCTCATTTTATATAATTTATTATCTAATATATTAAAAAAATTTAACAATACTCTTTTTCTCTTAACAGTTACCGAACACAAAAAAATAAAATTAGGTTCAGACCCACGTATATTCATAAAACCGGACCATGCCCTAAATAAAAGACAACTGGGCCTCAAATTCTTCAGGCCAGTGAAGTTCGTTATTTGTTGTCGGTGCTGGTGTAATTGATAGTTATTGATGAAGTAAGAGATATATTTTATATTTAATTTAAAAATTTTTAAATATAATTTTTAAATTTAGTATTTATTTTAATATTTAAAAATTTTTATTTGATATATAACTTAATAAGTATCAAATAATTTATAGGTATATGAATAACTCAAAAGAAGGCATTGTAGTACCTATTAGAGGTGTGTTTTATGTTTAGTTTTTTCGAATAAAGTTATATGGTAGGAGAGGGGAGAATGGAAAAGACTCGAACTCGAATCCAGTAAGAAGCGTCTTGTGAAGAGCAATCAGTTATTCTATTTAGAACTTATCATGTTTTATATTTAGTTTAAAATTTATTATTTATATAAGTTTTTATTATTATATGTTATTATCTGTATGATATTTGGAAGAGTTTTTCCTTATATGAGATTTGATGTGATTTAATTTTGAATTACTTAAAATCAAATATGATTTTCAGATATTGAGAATTTAGTAAAACAAAATATTATATGTATGATTTTTTAAATTTTAAATTTATTTTTATATTTTATTATTGTTATGTTTAAAAATTATTATTATCATATGATATAAAGTATAATAAATATATAAAATTTTAATTATATAAATATATAAAAAGTGAATTAAATGTACCAAAAAAATAAAAAGTCAAATAAATAAATAAATTAAATAAATAATTTTAAATTTCTATATTTATTATTTAACTTAATACTTACTCATATTTAATATTTCCTTAATTTTTTATTATTATTTAAATATAATATTTATCCAAGCATATAAGGTGATCGTAGGTAGCCAGTGCAACCGCACGCAATGATCCCCCCTACCAACTGCAATGGCACTATTTATACTATTTATGATCCGTTTTCCGTTTCCCCAAAACCCAAGGAAAGCCGGGGAGGGAGAAAGAAGCAGAGTGAACGGAGGGCAAAGCAATGACGAGAAGATGGCAGCGGCGGTCGCCCAGAAAAGACCCTTACCTTCCCAGAACAAGTTCCCTCCTCCTCCTGCTGTGTTCCCCCCCGGTTGGACCCCATTGACCGGGAAAAGGAACAGACTTGGATATGCATAATGCACAAGCACATGCATGAAATACTTGCAAATTCAGTTGCATGCAAATTTTTTTTTTTTTCTGATGTTTTGGAGCGCAATTCATCTTTCAGCCCTTCCGTTTGAGAAACCCAACCTGGGTTTATGGAAAAGTTTGTCCCTTTATTTTTTCTTTGAAAAAATTTGAACGTTTTTGACTTTGTTCTTCTCAACTGCAAACTTGCCGTCTCCTGCTTCGAGTCTTTACCAAGGAACGGACGCCAATTTCAACAGTTTTCTTTTCCTCTTTTAATTTGGGTTCTTATTATTATTATTTTTCCCCTGGTTCATTATCCGTGTGAATTTTCATGTTTTTCTTGTCTTTTCTTCTGAAATTTATTTTCCTCCAATGTGTTGTCCCTGTTGCATTCTATCAAAAAGAAACAAACAAGATAGTTTCAGCTAAGTTTAAATAAAAAGATACCCACTCATCCTTTCAATTTGGTTAACTGGTTCCTTTGCAACTCTCTATAAATAGGATTAATGCCATTTCTTCTTCTTTGGTGTGATTGTGATTCAACCAATACTGATGTCCTGTGGCTTCCATCTTTTGGATACAAATAAGATGTAATAGTGGGCCTGTGTGCACGCCTGCACAGGTCTGCAGGTATGTGGACATACATGGAACCACCAGTGACTGTTTCATAATTTCTTATACACCTTATGGTTTTCTACTTTTCTTGAAAGTGAGCATGACTCGTTCTTATGGAAATGAGAGGAGACCAGATGAGATAACAACGCTCTGGCTGAACTTCGCTTCCAGGTTAGCTCAAAACATCCATTTTGACATCATTGTTCAGTATAAAGTATGGTTGTTTTTACTCTGTATTTTGATAATGTAGATTGGAGACTACTTGGAAGTGGCAATTTTGTAGAGGAATTGGCTATTGATGAGAGACGCAGTGGCACTGTTAGTGGTAATGTATGTGTGACTGATGTGTAGGATCTCTTAATACATTACAGCCTTTTGAGTTGGATGGATGCCAATTTGTTCTCGAGCATGTTCTGGTATGCTTCATTTTACTTAAGCTTGAATGCCTCTTGATTTTAGAAATGCATGTCACCAGCATGTTAATATGTGGCTCTTGTTGTAGAGAGAGTCATTCATCGTATAAGACTTTTGAATTAGCTTTTAGCTTTATTTTCCATCTTACTTATATTGGTATCTATGACTTTCGTGTAAATTTTCTGGTTGTCAAAAATTTTATGCCAAACTTCGAGCTGTACAACTTCACTTTAAGTAAACATGATTCTTTCATGGTAGCAGTTGTTTAGTATATTCTTCTCTCTCCCTGTCTACAAGCCTGTTATAGGTACAGACAACCAAGAATATTCCACAAGATAGTGCTTCTAAAATTTTCCTGCACAGCAATTGACGATCCAGGTTTAGAATATACAAACAAACTTCATCATCGAAACTTTATGAGTTAGTTACAGGCTCATCATGGATCCCTGGAACTAATTTTATCCTGAACCAATAGCTTTGTCAATTACTATGGGAATTAAAAAACCACTAGAATAGATATAAACTAAAGAATTGTAAGGTTAAATATGTCATGTACCTTCAATCATGCCTCACTTCCTTCTGGCAGTGTAATCAACCGCGTGTTTGAATCATAAACCAATTCTGTTCCACAGCTGAAATTGGAACAAACCGCTAAAATTTTAACCCAGAGCAGCAATTTCACCAAATGAGAAGGCAAACATTTTGCCACTGAAATGCTGGTAGTATAGAACGTTAGGAAACTTACTCAGAACATTTAAGATTGTTTGTGGAACCACCACTAGAGATTGATAGTATAGTCCCAAAGAAGGAGACATTCTCAGTGCCACAGTTCGGACAAGCGCCCTAGAACACAAATTTTACTTCATCATAATGCTTGCTACGTCTTTTGGAGGTTAAATACAACATTAAAAGAGATAAAGCAGAGATTATACCTTTAAGATTAAAGAATCTCTCACTACTACTTTTGTAAGAGACTGAGCTAGCCAAACTAGGAGGGGCACGGCAGCAAACCATGTGAAAATGAAACTGAATGGTTCTGGGAGCTGTCAGTCAAAGAATACAGACAAATGTTAGCATTTTTAAATAAAGCTGGTAATTCATATGTATATCTACTTGAGGCTATAATTTACCTCCAAAAGGTATGAAATTTCAAACCCTGTCAAATCATCCAGAAAGAAAAACCTGATAAGACCAAAAGTTAAGTGAGTGTTTGTAATCTTCTTATAGCTCAAAAGCCATATAGAAATATAACTACTAGAATTCAGGATGACTATCTCTCCAAGTAACATCACACTTCACATTTAATACATAGATGC